AATGCCCTCCATTCATTCACTCTATTCATTCCTATAGTGTCAAAATGGGCATATAGGCCGGGTGTGGTGGCTCAAACATGTAATCCCAACACTCTGGGAGGCTGAGGCAGGTGGATAGCTTGAGCTCAGGAGTTCAAGACCAGCCTGAACAAGAGCAAGACCCTGTCTCTAAAAATAGCCAGGTATTGTGGCGGGCACCTATAGTCCCAGCTACTCGGGAGTCTGAGGTGAGAAAATTGTTTGAGCCCGAGAGTGTGAGGTTGCTGTGAGCTGTGATGCCACAGCACTCTACCCAGGGCAACAGAGTGAGATTCTGTCTCAAAAAAAGGGGGTGCGCAAATAACCTTTTGAGGAGTCCCCCTTGCTCCATGTGGAGCCTTGTGTAGCTCAGGTCCCTACTGGGTAAGGGGACCATCCCACCCTGTGTTCCCAAGAAGAGCAGCCCATGCTGAGCAGAGACACAGCAGCTCGGTAGTCCCCTGGTTTGCCTCTGCTAACGTGAGATATTTTTTTTTGGCATGAACGTCATCTTCCACTTAATCAGTTTCACGGATGCTGCCAGCAGACACGAGACCTCTGTGCCACAGAGAAAGGACAATGTGTTACCCACAGCTGTACCAGTAGACACGGTATCAGCTAATTCCCAGTTCCCACAGGGCAGGGTGGGAGGCCCAGATGCCTGAGCTCAGAGTAGTTTATATTGTAGGAGAGGAACCCCGAGCTATGGGAGCCTGAATCTTTTATAACGAACAAGCCCACCCTCATCTCAGGAGATAACTCTCTCCATCTTCCAAGGCTCTTCACCATGTAAACATCCATAAAAATACAGTCTAGCGGGGGCAGCACCCATAGCTCAGTGGGTAAGAGCACCGACCACATACACCAAGGCTGGTGGGTTCATATCTGGCCTGGGCCAGCTAAACAACAATGACAACTGCAACAAAAAAATAGCCAGGCGTTGTGGTGGGCAGCTGTAGTCCCAGTTACTTGGGAGGCTGAGGTAAGAGAATCGTTTAAGCCCAAGAGTTGGAGGTTGCTGTGAGCTATGACTCCACAGCACTCTACTGAGGGCAACATAGTGAGACTGTCTCAGAAAAAAAAATAGTCTAGAACAAAAGGGCCGGTTCTTGCATGTTTTACTCACAAGACATAGAAAGACCATGTAAAATTGACCCCCGATGCCCTAACTACACTGTCCCCCTCCCAAGTGACTGCAGATATAGCAAATCCTCACAATGGCCAGAGACAGGTGTCTGTCGTCCACTTCTGGTTTTCAAAGTATGTTCACCCACCTGTAACTCCATAAACCTCAACACAGCTATTTTCATTTTAAATAATGTTTCCCACAAACATGTTGATTTTTTTTCTTACAAATTGGCCCCCTTGTAAGAAGAGATGCTTGCAAGAAGATCACAGTCAGCTCCTGCTTTTACAGAGGAGAAACTGGTGCTCTAGGAGGGTACGGGGCTCATCCCCGGCCACCAGAGGAGGGATGAGAATCCAGAGCTGCAGGTGTCCCCTTCAGCTCCCTGGGGCCTCTGTGGGAGAGCGAGGTGGAGGTACCAGGCTAAATGGAAATGAGCAGAGTCTGCAGAGACAAGCTGCATCTCCAGGGCAGCGTCTGCGAGTGCTCATCGAATTAAATTGTACTGAGCTGGGCTGAAGGGCGGGGGCCGCGGGGAAGGGAGGGCCCTGCCTCAGACAGAGGCACAGGCATAGGCATAAGGGCAATCTGTAAATGTCACCTGCCTCTAATAACAGAGGGGTCTGAGTGGAAACCTCATGGTCTGGCTAGCCCAGTGAACAACCATTACTCCAGGCTGAATTGAAGAAAACCAAAAAAGCAATAGGCTTCTCTGGAAAGCTGTGTCAGGGTTCCAGAGAAATGGGGAACCAGGACGTCTGGTCATACAGACCCACATACTGAGCCCCTGCCACACACAGAGCATCCGTCAGAGAGATGAGAGTGCCTGGCACTTGCCTGGTGCTAGCTGAGCACGTGGTTGTCACACAGCCCTGAGAGGTGAGTGTGCTGCTCCTCACTCCCACGTCACCAGATCAGAAGTCCCAGATTGACTCGCCCACAGTCATTCAGGGAACAAGTGGCAGAGCCAGGCCTTTCCCAGTCCCACCCCCCTTTCCTTTCTTTTAGCCCTGGGATCTGGGCAGAGAAGCATAATCCATCACTGACCACAGGCTGTAGCTGTAATCAGTCACACGAGTCCTCAGCACTTCATGGTATAAGATGGTGCCTTTCGTGCCTGTGGGAGCTGAAAGGGGAGGAAACTGTGTTATTCTCACAACCTTCCAAGGCTGGGGTCTTATCAGAGGGACCTGCCTGGAACCCAGGAGAGCCATAAGGGTAAAATGTAATCGTCAAAATGAGAGGACTATGGGACTATATATAGTAGATATGGGAACATCTATGAAGGGGGGAAGGGAGAGGGGTCAGTGGGCTCCCACTTAATGGGCATGTGTGGGGGTATATGGCACACCTCCTGGGGGCAGGACACAACCACCACAGGGCCTAGACCTAACAAATGCAAACATTGCCACCCAATTCTTTGTACCCTCGAATTAACCTGAAATTTAAAAAGATAAAAGGAAATCTACGGGCCGTAAGAAATGATGGTCAATTTGTAATCAGGAAAATTCTTACAATATGTGATTATATTTACATCCTTTATCTTGTTTGATTTCCACAAAAGCCCTACGAGGTACCCAGGACATCATTATTATTTTTATTTTTGGTGTGTTTTCTTCTTTTTAATTTCTGATTAATATGAGGGCACGGACAGGTTACATTGTTTGGGTTTTTAGGTAAAGTCCACGTGGTAGCTGTGTCCCGCACCCAACAGGCGTGCCCTGCACCCTTACACTGCACCTGTTAAGTGGGAGCTCACAAACCCCCCTCCCTTTTCCCAAGGCCCCCAAATGAGTTTAATTGTGTTTTCTTCGTGTGTGGGCGTGTATTTGTTTGACTACTGGTTTCATATTAGCATTGAGTACACTGGATACTTGCTTTTCATTGTTGTGATACTTTAGCTCTATCCAGGTAAGTATAAAAGATGTAGTCTCCATCTTTTGATGGCTGAATAGTATTCCATGACGTACATATACCAGAGTTTATTAATCTATTCATGGGCTGATGGGCACTTGGCTTGATTCTACATTGGCAATGTGAATTGAGCTGTGGTCCTTATGGTATTATATTAATTTTTAAGAAAAGAAAGCTGGGCGCAGTGGCTCACACCTGTAACCCCAACACTTGAGAGGCTGAAGTGGATAGACTGCCTGAGCTCCAACAGGTTGGAGACTAACCTGAGCCAGAGCAAGTCCTCATCTCTAAAAATAGCCAGAGATTGAGGTGGGTGCCTATAGTCCCAGCTACTTGGGAGGCTGAGGCAAGAGAATAGCTTGAGCCCAAGAGTTTGAGGTTGCTGTGAG